GCGGCTGGTGGTGCTGGTGTGTGTGGTGTTTGCGGGGTTGCAGCGTTGGTGGTCAGATGCGTTAGTGAAGGAGAGGGAATTGTGATGGTGGCTGTTACGGGGTGTTGGTGCGGATTGGAGCAGGGGAAATGGAGGTGAGTGGTGGTGTGGATTGGTGGTGGAAAGTGCTGTGGTTTCTGTTGTTGGTGGTGCAATTGCGGGGTGTTGAAGGTGGCATGGCTGGTGAGTGGATGTTGAGTGGCTGGTGAGGCTGCTGGTTTGTGTTGTGAAGGGGGCAGCAGTGGTGGTCATTGGTGGGCGGTGGTGCAGGGAGCAAGGGAACTGGTGTGGTGGAGGTTAAGGAGGTGGGGTGATGGATAAGAGGTGGGCAACAACCATCAAAGTAAAGAATTGCACACTTTCACTCGTCCCCGAACTTCGAACTCACTTGACATGAAACTCGGGACCCTAAACACAAAACCGAGGAGAAATCAAGACAAATAAAAATGAAATAAATAAATTAGGAATAAAATAAAGTAAAAGTGAAAAAGAGAAATAACACTAAACTAATAAAAATTAAATAAAACTATACAAGTAAATAAAATCAAATAAATAACAAAATAAACTTAAAACTAATAAAAACTAAACAAAAACTATACAAGAAAATAAAGTGAAATAAAATAGACTCAAAACTAATTAAAATAAATAAAAGAAAATTAGAATACTTTCAAGGAAAAATAAAGAACGAAATATAACAAATCAAAAGCAAATAAAATACGAAAATAAACTAATTCTAATAAAAACTACGAAAAGAACTAAAACACGACAAAATTACCAAAAAAACAAGAAATGTTATTAAGAGAAAACAAGAGAAAGAAAGGGAAAATAAGAGAAAATAAACACGGAAAAGACTCTAAAACTACTCCTTATGAGTGACATAAATGTCACTCATCACATTGATAATCAACAACAACAAATTACCCCTTCATATTATTTATGGATCCCCATAATCCCTAGAAATAAAACTACTCGCACATATTAAAAACTAAACTAATCAAAGCAATAAAATAAGTCATGATGAAAGGAATAAAATAAACAACTAAGATTAAGAGAAGAGAAATCGTTACCAAAATAAATCTGGAATTAAGAGTAGATTAAGAACAAAGGTTTAGGAGAAAGAAATATAAGAGAACAATTAAGAGAGTAAAGAAAGAGTAAAAAGAGAGAGAAAGCCAAGAGATCCCCATAAATCGTATTACGGAGGAGTATTTATACTCCGTACAAAATCCTAAACTAAAACAAATTAAAACGACGCTAATCGTCTCCTAAGAAATATACGCGCCCGATCGGGCGCGCCTTTTTGCTCCTTAATACTAAACTCGCGCCCGGCCGGGCGCGTCACAGGGCGCCAGCCTTAGCTTCTCCCGCCCGGCCGGGCGCGCCTCCGGGCGCCAGCCTCTTTGGCCGGGCGGTTCACTTGGGCCACTATTTGGACTACGATTGGGCTCCAATTCTTCGAGTCAATCTGGGTTTCCTCTTCCGGTCTTGAATACTCGGTCCAAATGCCCCGGTATCACCTATACCGAGCCCTTAATCACCGGTTCGAATGGCTCTAACCGGCCCTGGGCTATGGAATCTGGTCGTGTTTCTCCAATGCTCGTGATTGCTCCAAAATATCTCGGGAAAATACTCCAAAAGCATAAATCCCTGCAAAAGTCAACCAAATCTACAAAAACACTAGAAAACACCAATTAGTAATAAAAGTGGCTCTAAAGAGCCAAAAACACTACTAATTATGACCAAGGGACGGGGGTAAAATACTATATAAAATAGACACATCACAACGTAAAGTGAAAGAGATTACGCACAAAAACTCTTGAAACGTATATAAACATATGGGGGAGTTATGGGGTTTTAATTATATTTAACCATAGCTTCTAACGGGCAGGACGTTCGTCACTTCATTAGCTCAGTACAGGGCGCTGTATTTTCTTTTTTATTATATGCGCAGGACGTTCGTCACTTCATGTGACATTTGCCTACCCAATTAGCTATCGGTGTAGTTTACCCCAATTCTTTGGAGCGGGAATTTGGTGGGAAACCCGTTCGATGCGTAATCAAATTAAATAAGCAATGTAATACCCCGTATTTTTTTAAACCCGTTTAAGCCGGGAATTTAGTATCCAAATATATGATTTTTCTACTTTGAGTATTTCTTTGCTCCAAGGCAAAGGACCTAAGTCCATTTCTTACTCCTAAAGCATGACCAAAGTCACAAACTTCCTTTACAAGCTTGAATACCTGACCTCCAAGTTGTTGACATCATACATGATGTCAATAGCATGACCTCATAAACTTCCTCTACAAGCTTGAATACTTTACCCCCAAGTTCTCAACTCTATAAATAGAACCAAAGTTTAGCCATTTTAATCCAAAAGTCTCTTGCTCTTAAGCTTCATCCTTCTTTTCTTCTTTCTTCCTCCCATTCTCGTACTACTTCACCCCGTATATGTTCCAGGCCATTTTTTAACCACTTACAATCATTTTTAGCCTTTTGTTTGAGACAAAGTTGTTCCTCTCAAAACATCCTTGAGGTTAGGTTCAAGAATCACCAAATTAGGAGTTATATACTATGAGATATGGCTTCTGCAAGATTTGACTTCTTCTTTTCAACGTGAACCTTCTCGTGAGCTTTGCTACTATATATTGTTTTGCGGTTAGTCTTTCAAAACTAATATCTATATTCAATTTATGATTTTTTTTAAGGTTTCATATTTGATTCTTATTTAAAATACTCCATGTAATGTTTATTTAGGAGATAGTTCGTGGTTGTAAATCTAGGTGGAATAGTTGTAAAGATGAAGGTACGTACTCGTAGCTAGATCTTTAAATATGTGATTTTATACAAATGTGTTTTGTGTTTTGAATGATGAAATATGTTTGAATGTTGAACAAGGATTTATGAATGTTTATGAAATGAATATTGTGAAATGTTTTACTGTTTGATCTTTAGAAATAATTTCAATGTTCTAAAAGTTGTTTGTACACATACTTGAATTCAAATTTATTTTAAAGAGCAAATGTTGTTGAAATCCCATTCATGGGAATTGGAAGGTTGACTTATCAAATATATATATATATTGGATTTTTATGACTCTCACTATGTGAAGATAAAATTGAAAACTATGGACTATGTATGACCTAGTCTTTCCCCATGATAGCACTATGTAAGGAGTTACTAGCTTGGGGGGTGTGCACACTTAGGTGGAAAAATGGTTTACGAAAATATTGATCTTCCATTTCTATTGGAATCTATTTTGGGAAAGTCGTTGATTTTGAAATGTGATAATTTTTGGAATGTTTCTAAACATTTCTTAATGTGATGTTTCTATTTATGGAAGGTTTGAATAAATGCTATTTATAAATGCTAAATCTTACGAAAGCATGCTTAATTAAATAACTTGATTTTACGTATCTAGCATTGGTATAGACTTAGCGTTTTGCTAATACGTATTTCTCTTTTGTTTTGGCTTGGCCCTACTTATCATTATGATAAGTAGATAGGTGATGATGACTCGACGTGATCTAAATGTGGCAATGGGGATGAAGGGCGATAATCATGTAGTCTAGGTTTCATGGTTGACGTTATGTATGGACAGTTCTCATATGGTTCAATTTTGAAAGCTATTATTACTATTATTATCAAAATATAAAAGTTAAGTATGTATTTTCTTCGCTGCAAGTCTCTGTTTTGAAAAGCCTTACGTAATCACGTGCGCGGTAATGCTCCCAAGTTACTTCCTAAAGTTGGATTATTATTATTATTATTAGAGTGTAATTTGGGGGTGTTACAAGCAATTTATTTATCTATCTAATGGTTGGTTGTGTTGTGTGCTTGTAAAAAGGTTCAACAAGGTAAGTCGTGTATTGATAGGTTTAAAGCATGTTAGTGTGTACTATTTACGCTTATGTACTCAACATTGTTGATTGTGTGTTATATGTTTGTTTGACTTTGTCTCTATCTTGGCCCTACGACGACCCATTTCTAAGGGCGAGTAGGGTGGACAAAGTGAAGTGAACCTTTTCAGGTAATGAAGCACATTCATGATGGGCATGAGTGAAGAGCGAATCATATTTAGTTTTCCATAAGAATATGATATGGTTTATTGCTTTGATTATCGTGTATTTTGCATGTGATACTAATGCAAAGGTTTTAACTATTTAAATCGTTTTTATTAAGGGCCTATAATGGTTCCAAGTTGTAGGTTGACTTTGTTTGACTTTACTTTCGTTTGGTTTGGCTTTTCAAGTTGACTTATTTTAAATGGTTTTTAAAGATAGTTTTGTGCTGTGTGTCTTTGATAATTGTCTTAGCCGTTGTCACGGTAGTGGTAACGTTTTAGAATTTCCTATTTCGTATTGAAAAAGAGCAAAACACGTATTTTAAAGGAAAGGAATTTCTAGGGTGTTACAAACCGGTTGGTGAAAGGAGCTACTCATTTGACAGATATAGATGTTGTTCTATGTGATGCAATGAACTTGGGTTCAGCTTTCGAACAAGTGAGCTGGTCACATGTTTACAGGGAAGGGAACGAAGTGGCTCACAACCTTGCAAGATTTATTCCATATGGTGTAGAGCAAATTTGAGAGAATAGTGTTCTTTTAGAGATCTCCCCTTATGTACACATGGATACTCTTATTTTGAATGATTAATCTTTGTTCGTCCTTTAAAAAAAAAACCCATTTTTTAGGCCTGAACGATCTCCCGAGTTACTGCATTATTTCTATTATTAATATCTGTATTAAATAGCATGTAATGGCTAAAACCTTTTAGTTTAAACTTAAGGTGGTGAATTCAAATCATCCGATCCAATCCAATTCAACCCAATCCGACCCAAGTCAAATGACTCTGAAACCAGATAGCCTTAATTAAGCAGAGGCCAAAGCCCATAAACAATGGTGAAAACAAAGCAGCCCACACTTCCACAGTAGTATGTAAACGTGGCCAATTTATGGATCACCAAATACTTGTTGGTTTCTAAGTATATCAAGTTTCGGTTTCCTTCTTGTTCTTCACGATATTCTACAACTTAGTTACAGTTAAATATTAATCCAACCATTTTCTTACAATCCCAGAAATAATTGGAATCTGCTCAGAAATAATCTGATTTGCTGGAAATTTGGAGGGGTTTGTGAATGATCAATTAATAATTTGATTTGGGGAAAATAATCCAATTTAAAAATTGGAAATCGAAGAAATGAGGAATGAATGGAGAAGAAGATTGGGAAATGTGAGGTCTTTCGTGGGAAATGCGACGGGAGGTTTACGAGGTGGTTCCAATTTTGCAGCTTGGATAGTAGCTGGTACTATGGCCTATTTTCTCTGGATTAAACCTTCTCAAGAACTCAAGCGTCAACAGGAGGTATCATTCTCTTTTCGATTTGATAATCACGCGTTTATTAGTGTAATTAGTTGTCCCATAATCGTTTTTTTTTGGTATTTTGTCTAATTGTTTAATAAGAAGACTGAAGATATTCGTGATAATTTTTCAAAAAAAAAAAAAAAAAAAAAAAAAGATATTCGTGATAAAATCACACGTTGATTATTGTTGTGGACATGTAGGAAGATATTCGTGACAGAATCATGTGTTGATTAGTGCTAAAGATGAACCCATAAGATATTCTTGATAAAATCATGTATCAATTAGTGTTATTGATGGACATGTAGTAAGATATATGTAACAAAATCATGGGTTGATTAGATTTATTGATGAAACTTGATGGACATGTAGTAATATATTCGTGACAAAATCCTACAATGATTAGTGTTATTGATGCCTGTAAGATATCCGTGATAAAACCATGCGTCAATTTGTGTTATTAATGGACCTGTAATCATATTTGTTTTGGGTAATTCATCAACTAGGAAAAGGCTGCACTTGCTGCTGCAAAGCCGGATCCTTACAGGTACATTGAGAAGCGGAAACCCATGCCTGATCCTCAGGTAGTTCTTCTGATTTACGCCCTTCCATTTTTCTCCATTTATTTGGTAGTAAAACTAGTGTTGATTATGGTTTTTTTGGGTGGTGGATTAATGCAGGAAACCGGGTTAAGATACGGCAACAAGAATAAAGCCAAGGATTCTGTGAATGGGGATAGTTGATACTGTTACAAAATGAAGTAGTAACTTTTGCTGGTGTTCTTAGGTTAGCCAGTTTATTTTTGTGAATCTATACACGTTGGTTTACTGAGTGGATCATGCATATTCGATATCTAATTTTGAATGTAGCTTATAGAGGCCGTTGGTGTTTTACTGATTAAATTTATGTTGTGTGTGAAAGTTATTTTCGGTATCCTGATGGGGAGAATCGTAAGATTTAATTTATACATCATGGAATAGAATAAATAAAAAAAAAAACTGACATTTTATTCACGCTTTTTATGGTAATTTTGTTAATATCTTGTGATGTTTCCATGTAAGACTGTACCATTCCACATGTTATAAGTTGCCAAATGCAGTTATCAGGCTTGGGCTGTGTGGAGAGAAACATTTTTAGCGCTATATTACATGAAATTCAGACTCATTAGATGTGGTGTTTGTGCTGTTCATTAGTTGGTTTTACTCTCATATTTCAGTTATCGGGCTTGTTTGAGGTGTTGCATGTGTGTTGGGCACAAACTATGGCAACATATTGGAGTGCTGGTGTTATATAGTCTTGGTATACTGTACTCCTTTAACAATGGGCTTTCTATCCTTCAGCATGAAGCTAAATTATTGGTAGTCACCTTTGAACAATAAAGTAGGGCTCTAATTATTTTTCTACTGAGTATAGAAATTTGACTACAGAACTCAGCAATTATTATGGAGAACCATGATAGTCAAATGTTAACTGTATGTTTTTCAGCTACCTAAGTAATGAAGTGGGCGTCTTTCACCCAGCATTATTGCTATGTGCCTGATTGAAATATTAGATATTTTCTAACAGTAGTTAGACTCAATCTTTAGTTGCTATGATGGCAAGCTAAAGTATTTTGCAGCCTTGTTCTGTACCTGCAAAATCGAAAGCCCTATGGTGTTTATTCTTCATATAAGATATCATGGGGAAATAAAATAATTCTGGTGGAGCACCGAAGTGATATGATGTTAAAGATTCTGAAATTGTATCTTAGGAAACCTCATATTTTCCATGGCTTGAAGTCCTGAAGGTTTTTCTTGCAAATGGTTTGAATCTACTTACTATTATGGAACAATTTGTGTGTAGTTTGTTGAAGAGATTCTATCTGTCTTTGTTCTCAAATTGATCAGAATAATGAAGTGGGCTTATACGTTTGGGCTGCTGGGATGATTTCATGGCATTTACAATATTATGAGCTGTTTACATATCTTTGGAAAAATTTGTTATGGGAATACTGTGGATCATTAGTTGTTTTTTTTTGGTTATACACTTTTGCATATATGAACGGCTGCAAGTCTTTTATGTAAGTTTTGAGAGGAATAAGGGAATATAATTTGTGGTGATAGCGAGAAATGGTAAGATTTTCAGTGTACTATTTTTGGTTTTGTGGTAAGAGAGAAATGGTAAGATTTTCAGCTATGGTCCTATGGAGTTATAGCCTACAGGTCGTTCTGAAGGCTTAAAGGGACAATGTGGCACACCTTATGTTGCCGTTATTGTATGAGACGAGGGTGTTTTTGTGGTTGCTTTTTTGAACCGAAACAATATCTTTTCTCCTTTGGGGTGATGTGATGTAAAATGTGAGTATGTGAGTGCCATGCTGTATTTTTTATTCAGTTTCTTCTAAACAGCCCTTGCCCCATGCTTTCCTTTTTTTTTTTTTTTTTTTTTTTTATTACCCTGTTTCTTCCAACTGTTTAAGAGTTCCTGGATCGTGCAAGAAAGCAAAGGTTTTATGGAGAATGGGTTTCTGCCTTTCATCTTTTGAAAGATAGCCTAGAGCAGCTGAACTTTTCAGTGATTGATTAAACAAAAGTTGCTGAACCTTTAAGTTACTTTGACTACTAGTAATTAATCTGTCTAGCGACGTTTTTTTATAAAAGAAAAAAATTAGCTACTTAGTCAGAGAACCTAAACTATTTAGCTTATTTCTGTCTGCTTACTGTAAAAATTAGCTACTTTCCAACAGTAGCTAAAGTCAATTATGATTGCTGAAATGTCTAGCCTCCATTTTCCAAAAGTAGCCAAAAGTTCCAGCAACTTTGCTCTGCACCTTTAGTAAAAAGGCCTATGGTATCTGTTTTGTCTACGGACCATAATGAAAAGATGTAATACATCTGGTGGAGCACCAAAGTGAGATTTAAAAAGATTTTCTTAACCCTTTTGTGTGACTTTGGGGCTTATTTTGTAGATACTTTGACTCTAGATACAGTTATGGAACAAACTGTGTGTGAACTGTGAAGTCATTGGATAATGACCAGGTTTAAATAGCCCCTCTTGTACAGGATAATGTACTTTTTTGTACTCGCTTCTATTACAATGGAGATTGTTTTGTTGAATTATTTATTAGAAGTTAGAATTCACATGCTGTTCAAGATGTCTAGACTACATTGCTCTTGATGGTTGAGAATTTCACACATACTTTGAATGTAACTTGTACATAGAAATGGGCCTTGTTCTTCGTATTTCAAATTGCTGGAAAGTTTAAAATGGAAATACCTTGACTTCTTTTGTTTTCAGAGTCTGAAAAAGTCAAATATTGTCTAAAACTGTGGGGTATAAATCTATAATAGGAATTGGACCAATTTCGAAGGTTTTGGAACCTAGTGTTGAAAGCTATTAGGATTGTAGGGGATGCGGTGGATGCATCTTAGGGTCATATAATGTTGCTTGGAATCATGTATGATCACTAGTCGGTTATATAAAGTATCTTGGTGGCCTTGAGTGATGAAGGGAGATGTAAGTTGTAAACAGTTAAATTAAAGACAAAGTGAATGTTTTCAACCACCCAAATGAGAAATTGAGAAGCACCCTAACCTAACCTTTTTTGGGTCCGAAGATGTTGAAAGTTTTCCAAAATTGAATAATCCACGCTTTCAAGCCAATTTTGGGAAATTTTTAAAAAAATTGAAGTGAATGCATAGGGAGTCATCAATGGTCATAGAAGTTTGTTTGAAATTGTAAGTTGTAACAAGCCTACCAATAAGTTTATAAAGTCATGAGAATTAGTTTAGTTCAACTGTGTGGTATTTTGGAATCATGTTGCATTGGTATTGAACAGTTGTAAGTCGTGGTTTCAATAATCCCAACTTGGCATTCCGAGGTCTTATTAGGTTTCGGGCATTCTTCATTTTCATTGGGGTTGTTGATTGTTCCCAAATTCATTACTTACCATAACATTTCATTGTGCTGTTGATTTTATATTATATATACTTATATACTATAAGAGAAAGTTTTGCATTTAGTAGGTTAAGAGACTGATGTCTTTCCTGTGAGGTTGGTTGTAGTAATGCCTGCAACGAACTAGCGTGGTGTTGATAAATAAAATGGACAGAAGGTTTATTTGGATAGATAAAGCTCAAAGCTTTCGTACAATCGTCAATGGCTTTAGGCCATCACTCTCCAAGACTCTCTAACTTAATACTTTCTGCCTACCTTCTCTATCCTAAACTACTACTATTTATACTACTACTACAAAGCATAAGATGGCAACAATGCCTTAATTACTACAAGTACTACTCTTGTCTTCTTCCCACTTTTGCACAATACAAACAAATGGCCTAAGGAGGCCTGTCTGCCCTGCTGCTCCTCTGTCCTCTGTCTCCCTTTGCTTGTTGTTGTTGTTGGTCTCTTTTGTTGTTGTTGGTCTGCCACTGCTGCTTGCTGTAGGTGGGTGTCACGGGTGGTGGTGGGAGTGGGTTCATTGCAATGCCTAGCCTTCAAGTTAAAGATCCATTTTGAGAAGACACTAACTAAACATTTAGTTCTGGATTATTTTGTTTCTATCAGAGATGCTTCTGTTTTCTATTTAAGGTGAGATAGTGGACAGGTCTTGTAGATTGCATGATAGGAAATATTCAAAATAACCAATCTTTACAGGTTTTGAGAGGTTGATATTATTGAGTGGTAATTTTGAGCAATTGATATTCTCGTGATCTTGTGTATAGAAGTGTGTTGTCAGATTCCAGCTTTGGGTTTGGTTTGGCATCTGTAAGAATGTCTTTAGTAAAAAAAAAAGGTTGGTTTAGAAGGTTTCTCTTCTCTTCCTGTGTTTTGATATCACTTCATGTCACTTCAGTCTTTTCTCGGTTTCTAACCTGATTTAGACTTCTCTTCCAAGAACTTTTTGTTAGTTTGACATTTTTATTAGAAGTTCCTGTCTAGCTCTCATTAATTTGGTGTTAGCAAGGATGTAGAGGGGGAGTTCAGTGTTGTCCACTTCTATGCACTTTTATATAAAAGATGCAAAGTAATGATTTTCGTCATCCTTTTGCAATGATATGAATCTTTTTCACCTTTCAATATTTATTACTCTCCTCACACTAGAATCCAAAAGTGGCAAATATGTATGTAATCAGCAGTTATAGTCCTTTTCAAGTATAGACTAGGATGAACCCCAGCCCCTACTTCTTTGTTTGATGAGAAGGTGAATTACTTTCAATATGAACTCTGCCTCCCCATTTCATCATTTCTATGATTTTAGCTTCAACAATTTTTTATAATGGTTGGTGGTGTATGGTAATTTTGTTGAGGACTTCAAGTCCCTCTTAGTTGGGTGAATGTTGTTGATTGACATTTACTAGATTTTTACCCAAAAATTTCCTATATATACGTTTTTTATTTTTACTTCTAAAAACTGTTATTTTAACTGTAGGAATCCCCCCCCCCCTCCCAATTTGTTTTACTTCTTCCCCCTGCAGTCACCCCCTTTCTTAAGCTATGGTTGTGGAACCTTGCATATTGTTTTATCTGCAAGTGCAAAAAACTTGAGTTGAATGGCGTTATTGGGTTGAATGAAAGGTTAGAAATGAGCGCTTGGGCCCTTGGCAGTCTATTTGAGAAATGGGGTGGGGTGGGAGCTGCTTAATTTAAGTTTGTAGTGCTCTTACGAGACTAAGAAGATTCTGGCTTATGGTTGATTGTGGATTTGGTGAGATGAATGGAGAATGGAAATGAAATTAAGGCTTTTGCTGATTTTTATCCGGTGTTGTATAATTGTGACTTGGTGACTGAGATGAGCTTCTAGGAAGAAATTTCTGTATTCCTGTATATGTTGGACATGGGGATGCAATGATTCCTTTTTAGTATTGCAGCATAGTTGAGTTGCTTTTTGTTTTGCATCGTTAGAGTGACCTTAATCTCACAAGTATATTATGTATGCACGAATTGATGTGGAGATGGAGAAAATGCAAAATAGCCTTAAACCATCTTCAATTTCATTTTTATTAGTGTATATTCTTAGC